GGTTCAGTGGATTGCAAAATAGATTGCTGCTCGTGTGAAATCATAAACTTTTCATTACTGTTTTTATGAGTTGCCATGCATAACAGCTTTAGTAAGCTTGGCCTGCAACTGATAAGATTATTAGTTATTATCTACAAGCCTTATCAAGTCAATGGTGTTATCTCATTTGTAGGATATAGTCTTTAATTTTATGATCAAAGATTTTGCATCACCTATAACTTACTCAGTAATTAGTTATATATTCTTCTCAATGTATTCTAAAATTGTGACTTCCATGAACTCGAGTTGGCTGTATCTACAATAACTAATTTCCACAAATTGATTATTCCTATCACTGTTCTCCTAGTGTCAGGTAGAAGCCTGAAGGCTATCCTTAATTTGTGGCCTGTCCCTCCATTTTGACTCCAGTCATTCCCAGTGTCATTAGAAATGGAATTTGTCTCTTCCTCACTATTCCCACTACTCTGTGCCAGGCCACATCTCTTCCCTCCTGGCTTTTACCAGGCTCTGTCTTTTAAATTACTCTTGCACCTGTTTCTGTTGGAATACTCTTACTGTCTTGTTACTTTTCTCATTGCTGAGACAAAGTACCCAGAACTTAAAGTTAAAAGAGGAAAGGCTTATTGAGGCTCACAGTTTGTAAAGGTTTCAGTTCATAGCTGGCTGGCTCCAAGGTAGGGTGGCATAGCAGAGGATAAACAGTTCATGGCAGGCAAAAGGCAGCAAGTAGTCAAGCAGCGAAGCAGCAAGCAACAGCAGCCCTCGTTCTGTCCTTTATATTCTATCCAGGCTACCCACCCTCAGGATGGGTAACACTCATATTCAAGGAGAGCAACCCTTAATCCTGGCATTGCACTATGAATCAATCCCAGCATCACATCTTTAATCCCAGCATCACACATTCTAGATCCAGCCACCTCTGAAAAGCCCCACCTGTGACTGCATGACGCTTTGGGAGGGCATCTAAACACAAGCCATAACACCTACTAAAGCATAATTTATAATATTCTCTGAACAATCCAGACCTTGGTGATCTATGCAACTACTCCAACCCTTAGTGATCTATACAAATCAAGAGTACCCAAAGCACTTACAGTTATAGCCATACAATTTAACGCTTAAGTATTCTCAGAGAGTTCCACTTAAATTCACTTTATCTTCCTTGAGGAGAGATAGTTCTCTGCAGCTGGTATAGGTTCTAACACAAGACTTGTTCAAGATCTGCCCTCACATTCAAGTAATTCCCAGTAAGGATTACTTTTTTTTTTTTTTTTTTTTT